TTATGTTGACTACTATTATGTCACCTCACTCAAAACTAATAATGATTTCATAGGAACACCTATAGCTGCTCTCTTCCAGACTTTAACATGAACTTTTGGCTGCCCTTCCTTTGTCGGCACCATAGAAGGAGCTTTATTGAGATCACACTAATGCTGACATCTCTCATAGTGCCCAGTTATCATTGTGAAAGTACATCAGTTTGATACCAGGTTATTTACAGTCTCCCTTTAAGTCACGGGCTTGAGCTGAAAGCCAAGTCCGCATCCTCCCCACTCAGTGACAGGACATGGCACTACTAACGCTATCTTTGCATGATACAGTTAGGGAGTGTCTGTGTTAGACCACACAGCACAACCTGGTGTGCAGAGCTGTGCTAACACAGCCCACACAGCCAGGCTCTGGAGTTAACAGTGCTATGAACGAGCAATTCAGATGCAGACAGACACCTTGTAAGATGATGGTATCAGCCCAGTTACCCTCTAACTCGAGCTCTTAAAATTAATTTGTTTCAAAAAGCAACTGTTAAGTGTTATTCATACTTCAGCCAATGTTAAAAGGTTTCATTCCAGCCTCCCTTTAAACTAAAATGGATCACAGCAGTACCACTACATTTAAATCAAGTAACTGTTCAAAATTTGGCAAGAATGTTGTTCATAATAAAGCTAAGCAGCCATATATTAAAGAAGTAAAAACATTTACAAGTTACAGATATAGGAGGAAAATAATTTAATTACCACAGGATAACAAGAAGGAACAGTATGCTTATCAAATAAAGACTATAGAGAAACCATTTCAAGAAGTACCTTTATATCAAAGGTTGATCCTGCAGAGAAATGGAGAATAACTTTGAAGTATTTCTGATTATATTACATTTTCTTTGCACTACCATCCCACAAAATGCTCATAGGGAATTCTCTGAATAGTTTCCCCAGATGCCTTGCACACCAGCTGGTCAGGATTAAACATCTTGCCCATGGCACCTTTTAGGCCTTACGGACTGGCATTTTTGACAGCATGATGAACAGTGTACAATTGTGTATATGTAATGTGTTTAGGATAATCTAGAGTCCCAGAAACACTGTTAAGTCTATCTACATTTGTGATAAGGGTTAGAAGAAATCTACAGCAGTTATCCTTCTAGTTTGAAAGTTACAGACCTGGAATTTCTTCAACAATACACTCAAAAATATTTGTGACTTGACTGCTGAAATTTTTTTACGTCTCTAAATTTTTGTTATTTTAAGCATACAGTACATAGAAATCACAGGCCTACTTGCAGAATACCAAGGGCTAGCTAGCAAGCACATCACATAACCAAAGCGACCAGAACTCTGCAATTAACATGTTTAAACAATGGGTACAGTCAGATCTCTGCCTCACTGTGAATGGCACTATGCAAGTGAAGCAAAGTACCCCCCATAAAGGAAAAAATAATCCCTAAACAAACACTGTTTTGTTTTCATTTGCATTAAAACACACTGAAAGATGAATCTTCATGGTAGAGCTTTGAACAGGTTTTAAAATGTGCTTTTGGATTAAGTCAACAGGTTACTCTTAACATGGCTTTAAGTGACCTGTTCAGATGAAAAAAATCCATAAAGACCATGTGGGTTCTTTCATTATTAGAATAAGTACTTTTGACTTGCTAATCAGGGGAGGGCTTCAACTCTCTTGTAAGACAGCAAATTCTCCTCTTACAAGACATCAGTGTTTCAGCAAAATACATGGCAACTTCTGAATTTTGGATAGAAGTATAACCCACAGGCTTCAATTACAAGCTAAACTCTGAAAAAAAAGCAAAGATCTCCTTGAATACAATAGCTGACAGCTACAGTACATTTAATGCTGTTTAATGGTTGCCGTCAGCACACCACCTTCTTTTGATCATATGCTACTGTTTAACTGATAAAAGATTACACATCTAATTAGATTCTAATTAAGAATGCTTCCTGTTCAGAAAAACATGCTTTGCTAACAAGTACAGAAACCTGTAGCATGAAAACGTTGTTTTCCTACACAATCATATTTACTTCCTGGTAATTACTTAAAAATGGTTTTCTGTTACCAGCTTTATTGTTTGGTATCCTTCAAAAAAGTTGCAGGAACATTTTAAGAAACAGGAAAAGAGGCATACAGCAGCTTTACCCATAATCAAATGTAGTGATTTAGCTCAGTGATACCAAAAATGTATCATGCCAAAGTAAGTTAACTGCTTGTATGCTGCCTTATGAGACTTGCAGTGCACAGTAAGAAAAAGTTTAATAAGATTGCATAAGTTAACTAGCATAGTCCAAAAAGAAATAATTCTTCAGCTCTTTATGACTGGATGTAAAAGCCTTTTCCTAACAACACCCTCATGCTCACAGAGCTACACACATTAACTTTTACCATTTTCTAGGACTGCTATTTAGAATTTAAATCTGTATTATGTATGTAGGTCCAGTATCTGAAACATTTTCTTCCACTTACAGAAACAAGATGAGGACCTCAAACTTACTTAAAACTCATATGAAGTAGGTAGAACCATTGTGGCTTGATCTGAGAAACATAGTAAGATGCACAACAGCAGATGCAGTAGTTTTGACATTGTGTGAAGTAGTTTGTGGAAGAAAGTGGGGTACATTGTACTTTCTATGAGAAAATACACTGTCATGGCAGAACATGCAATTCTTGGTTGCAAGAACAGCTGCAAATACAATTTACACTTAGAGATTAAGAAACTTTTGGATGAAGATTGAATTTACCTAAATAATAAAGCTATAAATAAATTTCTCAATGCTTGGAAATTCCCCCTCCCCAGTCTACTCAAGCAACCAACAATCTAACTCCTCTAGATTCGCTCTCAGCACTATACAAACAATTCCAATTAAGTCAAGGATGTTATTATTTATTAATCTATTCAAGTTCTTCTTTACGGGATTTACTTCAAGTAATCAACCAAGACATGTGAAGAGAAATTACAATACACAAGTTAGTGATCAAGTATAGTAAATAACAGTGGGTTTTAACAAAAACTCTGCCTGCTTTTATCTGATACAGCAATAAACTGAGCATCTGTTGACTGGCTTTCTGCATTTCACTAGAACAGGAAATATAACAGTGTGAGCAACAACAAAAAAGTAAATCAATCATCGTACCCTGCTGTCTGACTGGTGAATATACATAAACACAAGTCCCTATTATTGTAAAGTCAATCTAGACAAAAACTGGACTGGACATGTGGTGTTTTGGAACTAAGAAGTTGTCAAACTTGATTTGAAATTAGTATTTAAGAAACCAAGAGGTCACTTCAGATTAAATGTTTAAGTGCAAAAGAGTCATGCTGTTACTCCCATGGGTTAAAAGGCAAGTCTATACACTCAATGCATATCAACAACAAACAATAAATAACTGATACTCTTAAACATCCCAGCTTTATCCTCTACCCTTACCCAACTGAGCAGGCTTCCCTGGGATACCAGGTTTGGACACTGCAATAAGTTAGATACTAAAGTATATAGGACAATTGGGAATTACAACTTCTTAAAATTTTCCAGTACTATTAAAATGTATGAATTTATAGTCCTATAGCACAAACAGCATAAAAACTCTTTGAAGTCCTTATGAATGTCGTGAAGTTCAGCAAGGTCAAGTAGAAGGCTCTGCATCTGGGACAAGGAAATCCCAAGCCAAAGACAAGCTGGGTGGGTAATGGATTGAGAGGAGCCCTGGGGTGGAGAACTTGGAGATGCTGCTGGATGAAAAGCTCAACATGACCCAGCAATGTGCACTTGCAGCTCAGAAAGCCAAATGTCCTGGGCTGCATCAAAATCAGCCAGCCAGCAGGGCAAGGTTGCTTCTGCCCCTCTACTCAGCTCTGGAGAACCCAGGCTGGAGTGCTGTGCCCAGCTCCAGGATCCTCACCATAAGAAGGACGTGGATCTGCTGGAGCAAGTCCAGAAGAAGGTCATAAAGATGATCACAGGGCTGCAGTACCCTGCCAGAGAAGCCAGAGTTGGGGTTGATCCACTTGGAGAAGAGAAGGCTCTGGGATGAACTTAGAGCAGCCTTCCAGTACTTAAATGGGACCAACAAGAGAGCAGGAGAGGGACGTTGTACAAGGGCATGTAGTGACAGGACAAGGGGAAAGGGCTAAACTGAAAGGGTAGGTTTAGACCAAATATTATAAAGAAATTATTGAAATTCTTTACTGTGACAATGGTGAGACACTGAAACAGGTTGTCCAGAGAAACTGTGCATCTCCCATCCCTGGGAGTGTTCAAAGCCAGGTTAGATGGGGCTTTGTGCAACCTGGTCTAATGGAAGGTATCCCTGTCCATGGCAGGGTGGCTGGAACTAGATGGTCTTGAAGGCCCCTAGCAGTCCAAACCATTCTATAATTCTATGATTCTAGGGTCATTGATCATACATGAGCAATACTTAACTTTGTCAGTAATGACAACATTTTCTATCCAGTTTTGTTTTTTCTTTATGAAAAGAGCTAGAAACTAGATTGAACTGAATTGCAAGCTTAAAAAGAAGGTTTCAGGTTGGGGGCAGGGTTGTCATCCTTGCATAGAGGACATTGTCTGTTATAAATAAAGAGCTCATTAGGAAGGAAGTGCTGAGTGTACCATGCAGTACCAAAACAATTACTTTGTTAATATGCAGATCCAGTGAAGCCAAATTTGAGTCTTGTACTAACAACAGTGCCTGGTATCATTAGACAAAGGAGTATTTGCAGTCAAGGCAGTATGTTATAAAAGGAATGCAAACACAAGGACATAAATTCATCCACAATTAAATAGCAAGGGCTCAAGATAATCTTATGGAAACTCAGGCCACCTATCCACTAACACTAGTGACACATAAATATTGGTATTTTAGGTTCAGCGCAGCTGCTTCACTCCATTCCTGATACCTCCTCTGTGGAAACTATTTACTTACATAATTTGCCAATACCACAAACACAAAAGTCAGTTCCATTTAAACAAATACATCTAATAAGAAATCAACTTACTTCTTTGGTCCCTGAGGATCGGCGTGTTGCTCTAACATTAGAGATGCTCCTTGAGCTAGCTGGAGTCGCCAATGGAAGAGTAGTAGAAAGCTGAGGAGGACTCAAAGACATCAAAGGCAGTCTGGTATCTCCTAATATGCACTGCTTGTAATTGGAATTTTCACTGGTGAGGCTCTCATTTTTACTGTTTCCTGAATCTGCGTTACCAAACTCAGTTTTCTCCTTATTCTTGATTCTTCTCAAGCAGTCCTTTAGTATTACCTGAGTTGCAGGCTGACTCAACCAGCACAAAAAGAGTTCATCCACCTTCATTTTCACTGCAGGTTGCAGAACTTTTCCAGGTGACATTTTCTGCCAGTTTCCCTGTTTTGTTGGTTCATATTCAAAGTAAATATTTGACAATCATATAAATATTCCATTCACCTTTCAGTGTTTCACAGGCATTATTTAACAAAGTGTTAATATTTATTCCCTCAAGATACCAACAGAAGTTGAGAATTGTATTTAAACATGTGACTTCAACAACATTCTATAAGTGTAAGCCACAAACCAGTCAGAGTCAATTCCAATAATTTCTTTTAAATAATGGATAACTTCTTTTAAAAGCATACTGTGTAAATGGTGGAGACTAGAGAACAAGAAACTGCACTTGGGCTTTCTCAAAGAGATAGCTAACAAATATTACAAATATCTTCTAAGAATATGTGTTAAAAACACATGCATTATGAAAAACAGGACTTGAAAATACTTATAATTGAACATACTAAGAAGTAAATATCTAAGCAGTTCATGCTGAACCCTGGTGATAAAACAAATAAGATTTAATAGCAAGTTTTTCAGTCAAGAGATTTAGAACTAAGACTGAAGGCTCAATTTTCATTCTGAGGTTGTGATACGGATTCGACATCTTGCATCCCCCTGTGTGAGTGATTCCCAAAGCCCTGTCATTTGGTATTGTAAAAACCTCTTATTTGACATTCACTTTTGCAGTTTTTCAAAACCAGTGTAAATCAAGAATTGCGACAGTGTGACTTCAGGTTCAGTTACTCACCTGAAACAAACAGGTTTTTGGTGGTGTTTTTGTGTTTTTGGGGTTTTTTTGTGTTAGAGAGACAGAGGGCTGGAATGAAGAACTGAGAACAGAGCCAAAGTTACTATAAAGATTTTCAGCATCCAATTACTTCATGATTTGGTACAGTTCAAATAAAAATCTATGCTTCCTCACGTTTGTGGTTTTTTTTAAAGCCCTTCACAGAATTTAATCTATATGCATAAATCACATGATAAAAGATATATGATTGATGACCTTAGACGTTTTTTCCAACCTAAATGATTCTACATACAAATACTTGGCTGAACAAGCCTTAAAACAAGCACTTCAGTTTGGAAACGAAAAACACCCAGCAAGCAAACATCCTTTTAAAACCTAAAGCTCATCCTCGTCCCACGACAGAACTAGAAGCCTTTTAAAACTGCACCGCCTAAACTTCCCAAACAGCTATAACTTCGCAGTTCAGTTATCCTGTTTCTGAAAATGAAGTCGTTTCCCTAGTTTTTTAAGCTGAACACCTTCAGGGCGCTGTTGGCTGTGCTCAGCCATCCCCGCCTGGACAGAAACGGTGCTGGGCAAGGAAGGGCCAGCCCGGCGCCGCCCCGGCCACGGGGAGCCGGCGCTGCAGCCACAGGTCGCTCCCCTCGGACGAGCCCCGCACTGAGCCCCGCACTGAGCCCCGCAGCAACGGCGGCGGCAGCTCAGGAGCGCCGTGACCCCACACCACGGGACAGCCACACTCACCTACCCCTGCCCCTTCCCGCCGCCGCCCCTTCCCGCCGCCGCCGCCTTCAAATGCGCGCCTCCTTCCGGCCCGGCCCGGCCCGGCCGCCGCCATCTCGCGAGAGCGCGGCCCTTCCGCCCCGCGGGACGCGGCCGCCGGTCGCCATGGCGACGGGCCTCTCGGGGCCCTGCCCGAGCCGCCGCCGTGCCGCCGCATGTGCGCAGCTCAGAGCTCTGACAAGGTCTCGGCGTCTCTCGGCTGCTCATCACTGGTTCTCTGAGAGCAGCTGGCAAAGTGATGAAGGGGCAGAGTATCTCCTCAACAAGTTTGCTGACGGCGCAAAGCCGGGAGGAGTGGCCGATACTCCAGAGGGCTGTGCAGCCCTTCGGAAAGACCTCCACAGCTTGAAGAGAGGGTCAGAGAAGAACTGTGTGAAACTCAAGAAAGGCAAATTCCTCCCTGCCCCTGGGGAGGAATAACCCTGGCACCAGCACAGGCCGGGGCTGACCTGCCGGGGAGCAGCTCTGCCGAGAAGGACCTGGGCGTCCTGGTGGACAGCAAGCTGTCCCTGAGCCAGCAGTGTGTCCCTGGGGCCATGGCCAGTGGTGTGCAGGGATCTGTAAGGAAGAGCATTGCCAGCAGGTCGAGGGAGGTGATCCTGCTCCTCTGCTCAGCCCTGGTGAGGTCCCATCTGGAGTGTCCAGTTCTGGGCTCCCCTGCCCAAGAGATGTGAAGCACCTGGAGAGGGTCCAGCACAGGGTGACAAAGAGAGTAAGGTGGCAGGAGCATCTCTGTTGGAAAGGCAGAGGGAGCTGGGCGTGTTCAGCCTCGAGAACACATGACTGGGAGGGGACCTTATTAATGTGTATAAATATCCAAAGGGGGGGTGCTGAGGGGATGGATCCAGACACTTCTTGGTGGTGCCAACCACTAGAACATGAATGAGGCAAGGGCCAGAAGCTGATGCACAGGAAGCTCTACCTGAATATAAGCAAGAATGTCTTTACTGTGCAGGTGATCACACACACTGGAACATTGCCCAGATTGCCCAGAGGGGTTGTAGAGTCGCCTTCATGGAAGATGTACAAGAACCATCTGGATCACTTCTCTGCCACGTGCTCTAGGATGACCCTGCCTCAGCAGAGAGGTTGGATCAGATGACCCACTGTAATCTCTTTCACACAATTTATCCATTCTGTGGTTCTGTGAAAGTGACCTGTTTCATCTGTTAAATGCTGTTCGAAGGAGAACAGTAAATGCTCTTTCTACACAATGGCTATGGTTACCACTAGTGTTATGGGATTGCAAATGATAGGATGAAAGAGGAGGTGGAGGCAGTAACAAACAGAATGATAATCCCCTTACTAAGAGAACGATGTGTGCCAATCTGTTTGCAGCCCTTTTTGTACGTATAAAACATACACTGGGATTTTGTGGTTGTCAGCTTTCAGGGACACCCCTTTGAGGCTCGCTGTGTGCACTTATCAGTGGGGCTTAGGTGGTTGACCATTGGCCCTTATAGTTTTTTTCTTTGGTGTTTTTTACATCAGCAACTCATTGGTATTTTTATATCAGATTCCCTACTTCCACTGCACTGATTTTTCCTCATGTGGCTACGCTTCACTTTTATTAATCCATTTTACATTCTGCCAATTCCTTTACCAGCAAAGACACTACAGATTTATGACAGGGTATTATTACAAATTGTTGGAACATTAATTCTGTGGAAATGCAGCTGTACTGAAGATGACACCGTGGTTTGGAGGGAAGACTTGAAAATGTAGGCAAGAGTAAAATAGGGTAAGTGAAGGAATGGGCTTGCTTTCTCAATTTTGGAAGCTTGTAGAGAGGACACAGAGATAAGAAAGGGCTTAGAAGAAGCAAAAGCCAAGATGTTGTGAGAGAAATCTGGTACAGTCCAACACAATTACATTTAGGTAATACCAGAATGATATTTTGATAATAACTGTCATCTGGCAAAACCCAGTATTACTCTTCTGAGTACATCAGAAGGCTTTAGCTTCCAGCTGTAGACACTGAAATATATTTTCACAAATCTTAAAATGAGATTCTGCACTTAAGAAGACGTTGAAAGTTCCTGAGGGAGTCTCCACTTTTTGAAGTAGGGTAGTATTCTGTTTCCTGCCCATTGGTTGGTGAAGTTAGAAAATACGATTTTGCAAAGCCACAGTGGACAAAATGGCATTTTTTTAAACTGGAGTAGAACATTCAACATAACACAGCGGAAGCAGATGTCAAAGTATGGATAAATCTGTATATAATATGGAAGTAGCTTTTAAGTAGAGAAAAGAAATTTAAAACCCTGTGTTATGGATGGCAGCAAGATTTTTGGCGGAGAACTGAAGGGCTGAATTAAGAAGACTGATAGCAGAGCAAGAGACATGGAACAAAGAGGACTTTTAAAACATTTTGAATGCCTTTGAAGCATTCCTTAGTGATGGTGTAGCCATCTGTTGATTGACATGTTGAAGACAGGTGGGAAGAAGGGGATCAGAGATTGACTTGACAGAGTTGTAGAGTTGGATATCATCTGCAAAGAGATGATGCCCTTTGTTGAAACTGGCAATGAGATCTCCCAGAGGAACATTAGAAATAAGAAAAAAAGAAATGAAAAAAAAAATTCTCTGAGAGATGCACACAGTCATAGTGTTCTCTCATGCATGCTAGTGTAGATTCAAAGCAATTCTAGCTCTGGCTTCATTAGACTGTGTCATGGATAACATTGGTGTGAGAGAGGAATCAATTCCACGTGCCTTCTATTAAGCGGAGTACACTTTGGGCATCCTCATCAGGTTGTACCAGTACTGCAATTGAGACAGATGTTTTGAACTTGTGTCTGAATGAAACAGGTCTACTCAGCAGTGTATCTAGTGGTAAGGGTGTGTTTTTATAGAGATACAGGGGCTCAAACTTGGCCAAAAGTGGAGAAATACCTAAATTGAACCTATTTATTCAGATCTTCCACCAAGAATTGAAACTTGAAATCCTTTTTGACTGCTATTTCCTTGTTCTCGCTTGACAGTGAGTACAGAAGCTGAACCTTTTTTACATTGCTTTCAATGTATGGAAAACAAAAATCTGTTCTAGTGTCTTACCATTTTTATGAAATTTATCCATCTGGTTTAAAGATGGTCTCCTTTAAAAATCCACTGAATAATTATTAAATATTAAAGTACTGAGCATGCAATATCCAACTGATACCTGAAAGTTTAGTGATGGAGTCACACTTGGCATTTCTGTAAAAGACACAGACTATGCTTTAGGTAAGGCATTTGTTTAATAAGTGCAAGAGAGTGGTGCATTGATGTAATCTGAGCAATAATTAATTAATTCCAATTCATAGCAGGAATGCTTGGGCCTAACAGCCCAGTGCAGTGGTGTTAGTACACCATGCTGGTGTACCCGTGCAGCACAGTACCTCCCTCCATGTGTGTGTGGAGGTACTAACCCCGGTGCAGAAACTGAAGAGCCACATCCAGCTCTTGTTGGCTGTTGCCTACAGCTCCTTTCTGACCTTGCTTCACTAGTGTTTACTCAGCAAGTGTGATGTTAGCAGTACTGC